CTGCTGCCATTCCCACCTCCACCTTTGCCTAACCCCCCACCCCCACCACCACTGCCATCATTATCAGCACCACCACCACCATCATCCCCACCACCCCCACCGACGTCCTATACTGCAGCATCCTCTCAATCATCTGCATCATCTTCTTCTTCTTCCTCTTCCCCTACTTCTTCCTCTACTTCTTCCTCTACTTCCTCATCATCGACCTCATCATCAATGCACTCATGGTCAGTTCGGCCATCACAAAGGCCCTGTCGGCCGAGGTATTCGTTGTTAGATCGATCGTTACAGATGCCTCTTCGGTGGAGACGCTCCCCGTCTCCACAGCAGCCTCCAAGACAGCGGCCTCGTTTGTCATTGAATGGCTTGATCATCGCGCCCCCTGCAGGGGTTAGAGATCTGCTCCGACGACATGCTCACAACCGTGCGGAACAACATCGTCGCTTTCAGTATACACTAGTGAGGAATAGTGCACATCGAGTCCGATGCCCGCAATGTGGCGATGATTTATTCAGTGCTGCAGGCTTACGAGTGCACCAGACATGAGGTGCAGCTACTTAGCAGCGTTTGCACGACTAGCAGCCTCCCTGAGCACAAGTGAGGCTGATCAGCTTCCGATTCCCACATTTGGTCCACCCAGTTCTCACCCACCTGACCCGCCTCTCTCTCATCCACCTAGCCCTGCTCGCTCCCCTGCCCCAAATGACAATGACACGTCTCCTGATTACCTGATGGAGCCCCCTGTTGAAGATCATCTCGCTCCGGAGCGCATACCGGAGCCAATTGGTCAAGACCACAACGAGTCTCTGCCACTTGTGCAACCTGCAGAATCGAACAAGGATCCCCCTGCCGTGAACGGATCCCCCATGCAACCTGCGGAATCAGACAATGGCATAGAGCTACATCGAGGTCGCTGTGCGTACTATGCCATTAATGTTAATGTATGTCTCCTTGCTTACAATTGTAACCCTATACTGTTTCTGATTTCGCAGACGTTGTTCGCTGGATAGAAGAAAAGCACCATGCCGTCTGCCCAGAGGACGACAGCACTGCGCCCGGTGTGACCATAGAAGTCCTGGCTATGTCATTTATGGGTAGGCGACTGCAATTCCAGCCTGCTCCGCAAAACCACGTGCCAGGCAGGGATCCGAATATTTGGGCATATATCTTATATCGTCCAGGTCATTTCAGTGCTCTTACCTTTGCAGATAATTCATGGACCCTATGGGACAATGGCGGTAGGGTGCACACAGTGAGAAATATTAACTCTTTCTATCACCAAATGCTGGAGGATCGCTCAGTCTGGCTCGTCCATCAGGAACAGTATGTCGATGAGCACTTGCAAGCACTGCACCCCCCGGAGAGCAATCCGGCTGATTCTACCACAAACAGTGAAAGGACCTCTCCACAGGGTGATGGCTGTGCCCTCCCGTTGTGTCGTCGCACAGGTGCAGTTCGGTTGGCATATACACGAAATAACCTCTGCTCCGAACACTATGAAGGGATGGTCATTGCTAGCCTCTCACACAAAAATTGTGATCCCCTGTCCTTTGCTCATCCCCCCCACCCCCTGATTACTTGCCCAGCATGCCGTTGTGGCTTGATCTGCCATGCTTAAATAACTGTGCACGTCAGCCTTCCATACTAATGACATGTCAGCAATATGCCATGTGTCGTCAATGCTTCCAGGAAGCTGTCATATAAAGTATGTGTCTTTACTGCGTGGACGATCCCCGGTGCCATCACCCTCCACATCCTCTCCTAGCATGTCCCACATGTGGTGTTGGTCATACACCTATGGCAACCGCTGACGGATCTCCCTCTTTCTTGCCAGATGAACGACGGACACAGCAG